TAGAGACGGGGCTTCACCATGTTGACCAGGATGGTCTCGATCTCTTGACCTCGTGATCCACCCGCCTCGGCCTCCCAAAGTGCTGGGATTACAGGCTTGAGCCACCGCGCCCGACGTTCTTTCTTTTTTAATATGATTTTTTTTTTGAGACAGGATCTTGCTCTGTTGGCCAGGCTGGAGTACAGTGGCACAATCACAGCTCACTTTATCCTCAACCTTCTGGGATGAAGCGATCCTCCCACCTCAGCCTCTTCAGTAGCTGGGACTACAGGTGCATGCTACCTGGCTAATTTTTAACTTTTTTTTTTTTTTTTTTTTGTAGAGATGGGAGTCTCACTACGTTGCCCACGCTGGTCTCGAGCTCTTGGGTTCAAACAATCCTCATGTCTCAGCCTCCCAATGTGTTGGGAATACAGGAATAGCCTCAGCCACTGTGCCCAGAGAGATGAAGCCTTGTTCCATCACCCAGGCTGGAGTGCAGTGACTATTCACAGGCATGATTGTGGCTCACTGCAACCTTGAACTCCTGGGCCCAGGCAATCCTCCTGCCTCAGCCTCCCGAGTTGCTGGGACTGCAGGTGCATGCCACCATGTCTGGCTAATTTTAATTTTTTTTTTTTTTTTAAAGAGACAGGGTCTCACTCTGTTGCCCAGGCTTGTCTTGAACTCCTGTGCTCAGACAGTCCTCCTGCCTCAAGCCTCCATAGTGGCTGGTACTGCAGGTGTGTGCTGCCATGCTTGGCTTAACATGTTCTGTTTCTTGAGCTGGGTCCTGGTTACATGGGTGTGTGCTGTTGTGAAAATTCATCAAGCTGTGCACTTGGAAGCTCTTTCGGTTTCCTTCCTTCCCTTCCTCCCTCCCTCTCTCCTTCCTCCTGCCCTCCCTCCCTTCCCTCCTTCTTTTCTCTTTCTTTCTTTCCCTCTCCTCCCTGCCTTCCTTCCTTCTTTCCTTCCTTCCTTCCTTGGTGGAGTCTTGCTCTGTAGCCCAGGCTGGAGTGTAGTGGTGTGATCTCGGCTCACTGCAACCTCCACCTCCCAGGTTAAAGTGATTCTCCTGCCCCAGCCTCCTGAGTAGCTGGGATTACAGGTGCCAGCCACCACACCTGGCTAATTTTTGTATTTTTAGTAGAGATGGGGTTTCACCATCTTGGCCAGGCTGGTCTTGAACTCCTGAACTCATGATTCACCTGCCTCGGCTTCCCAAAGTGATGGGGTTACTGGCATGAGCCACTGCACCTGGCTGGGAGCACTTTCTTGTATCTTTTTTAGGCTTCCACAGATGTTTACTTGAAAGCCAGAGGTAAGTAAATGCTATTCTGAGGAATAAATGAGTCAGCATAAATCCAGCCCAGGCACCAAGTACCAGCTGGCCCCTCTCCCTCTGTGTGACCTCAGGCAAGTCATTTCCTCTCTCTGAGCCTCAGTTTCCTTATTTGTACAAGATGATAACATCAGTTTCAAAAGAGTCACGTAAGCCTTTGTCTAGTCAACAAATGTTTCCTGAGTGCCTATTACGTATTGGGTGCTGGAGAAGCCACAGAGAACTAACCAAGCTTGGTTTCTGCCTTCCTGGAGCTCACAGACAATGGAGGTAGATAAGATCCTAAACTCTGAACATGGGACATTTCTAGCTGGTAAGGAGGACCTAGAAGGAAATAGACTGCAGTGGATGCACAGCAAAAATGCCACTCTTTGAGCTGGAAAAATCAGGGAGGACTTCCCTGAGGAGGTAACATTTGCAGCCATTTGTATCTAGCAGATACAGTCCAATGTAACCAGCATTCCAAATGTGTCAATGAATTAACATGTCCCTGAAAGCAGCCCTCACTTGATAACTGATGGGAGCTAGTGTATAAATACCCCAGCTCCCTCAACCCTTGTGTGGGATGACTCTGAGGTATGTGTCCCATGCTCTCCCCCAGGTGTCCCCAGTGAGACTGAGCTCCTGTTGCCTACAGTGGAAATTTGCTTGAAAACACATTCTTTCCTGGCTGCCTCCAGTTCTCTGCCTGGGCTCACCTCTCTTTTTTTTTCTTTTTCTTTCCCTCTCTCCCTCCCTTCCTTCTTTCCTCTTTCTTTTATTCCTTTCTTTTCTTTTCTTTTCTTTTTTATTATGCTTCAAGTTCTGGGGACACGTGCAGATGGTGCAGGTTTGTTACATAGGTATACACGTGCCATGGTTGTGGTTTGCTGCGTCCATCGCCCCGTCATCTACATTAGGTATTTCTCCTAATGCTATCCCTCCCCAATCCCCCCTACCCCCTGCTATTCCTCCCCTGGCCCCCCACCCTCCAGGCCCCAGTGTGTGATGTTCCCCTCCCTGTGTCCGTGTGTTTTCGTTGTTCAACACCCACTTATGAGTGAAAACATGCGGTGTTTGGTTTTCTGTTCTTGTATCAGCTTGCTGAGAATGATGGTTTCATATCCTTTGAAGGGACATGGATGAAACTGGAAACCATCATTCTCCACCTTCCTTTCTTTTATTTGAGACAAGGTCTCACTCTGTTGTCCAGGCTGGAGTACAGTGACACGATCATGGTTCACAGCAGCCTCGACCTCCTGGCCCAAGCAATCCTCCCACTTCAGCCTCCAGAGTAGTTGGGACTACAGGCACACACCATTATGCCTAGATTTTTTTTTTTTTTT